TTTCGTGTTATTAATTCTAAATTAATTAGTATTCGCATTAATCTAAATTCAATGAATCTAAATTTACATGAATCTAAAGTTATTATAAATCGATTTATTCTTATTCATGTATCTAGAAATTTTAATGTGTGTTTAAATTTATTTATTTACAATTAATTCTAATGTATCAAATACAGTATAAAAAAATTGCTCATTTGTAGTATTTCATCATAGAAATTGAATTTTTAGAGTACAATTTTCTTCTCTTAAATTTCTATTCTAAATTTTATTTTCTTTAATTCATTTGAAACCCATCAAATTCTCCCAACAAATTGGTATCAAATATTATTTTTACAATATTTAAAAAGTATTTCAAAATAACATGCAATATACGATCACTTCTGACTAGTTTCTTTAAAGTCATTTTTTTCAAATTTATTTCTAACTACATATTTCATGAGATCCAAAATATTTATCAACTTTCTAATTATATATTTCCCCAACTTTTATCAAAATTTATTAATTTTTTTATCCAAACCAAACAGGGGCTAAGTTTGTTTGGGAGAGATTTTTGAAGCGTGAAATTATTTTAGTGAGATAGCGTGTAGTTGAAAATAAATTTTTAAAAAATAACTTTTAAATAATTGTGTCAAACAAGCACACATTATCTCAATAAAACAATTTATACTAAAACAACTTATTAGAGTTACATAAAAAAAATTCTGGATTGATAACTTTATTTTAATTTCCAAAATTTAATGCAGATCTCCTTGTAAAGTTAGCTCTTGTTTGAGCCTAATTTTTATGTTAAAATGAGTTATGTAACAGTGATTTTTGGAAAAAAAAAAATGTGATTAAAAAATAGAGAAAAGTTTCGAGAATACGTGTAAAATATTTTATTAAAAAATATGTAGTTAAAAATGCATTTGAAAAAAAAAATGAATTTTTGGATAATAGGAGGACTTAATGTCAGAGAAAAATCACCTATATATTAATCTACATTTTTGAGTGAGATGGACGCACCACTTCAATTTGACTATAAAGAAAATTTAATTAAACTAATAAAGAGGGGTAAAGTGCATAAAAAGGGTCCCATTTTAAACAATCTTCAGTATAATTAATTGAAAGACGTTTTCACAACAAAAAAAAAAAAAAAGAAAAAGAAAAAGAAAAAGAAAAAGAAAAGAAAAGAAAGAAAATAACAACAACGACGACGACAACAACAATAACCTAAAGATAACTAGGAATTGTGTAATTGTTCAAAAATATTTATCCAATATCCCTAGTTCGGAATTTGGGTAATCAGGGTCTTTTTATAAAAGTAAGGGTTCGTTTGATTATAAAAATGTAATTTAGGTAAAAAAAAAACGAATTTCATGGAATTGAATTGCGTAAAACTTGTTTTACTGAGAATTGTCAATTAATTGTGTTTGACTGGTATAATTTTCCACTTGAAAAATGTTGAAATTTAAAATTGAATATTGTAAAGAAAAATAATGTACTTTACGATAAGAAGTAATTTTTGGGAATAGAAAATGCAAAANTGAATATTGTAAAGAAAAATAATGTACTTTACGATAAGAAGTAATTTTTGGGAATAGAAAATGCAAAAATTGAATAGTGTAAAAAAAATTATGATTTAAAAATTGAATAATGTAAATAATGGTTTCTCCCTTGCCAAAAAAAGAAAAAACTAGCTCAACCATGAGAATTTCAATTCCTCAATTTTGTGGAATTAAGGGTCACGTGAGGCCAAGTGAGAAAAGGAATTGCCAAGACTAAAAAGTGAAAAATGTGGGATGATTTTCATCTTCAATGGCAAATTCTAGCCTATCAAACAGGGCCTAAGCATTATAATTGCACAGTAACAAAAGCTCTCAACCTTTGCACATTTTTTTTAGGGATAATTACAATTGTGTCTCAAATCTTTCAAATACATGCATTTGGAGTCCAAATGGATGGCAACTATCCATATTTTTATTAGTTGACCAAAAAATTGAGTTTGATCATATATTTAGAGCTTGTTTGGGAGGAATTTTTGGGGGAAGAATTGATTTTTGTATAATGATATGATGGGAAATGTGTGGTTGAAAAAGAAAAAAAAAATTATTGATGTGATGGAAAACATTATTTTATTGAAGAATGTACGGTTGAAAATGAGAATTAATTCACTGTTTATTCACATTCTCATTTTTTTCTCTTTCTTCATTTCAACCACACATTTTATCAATAAAATAATATTACACATAAACCTAAAAATTCTCCTTACTTTTTAACCACACATTCTTCCATCAATCACTATTCAAAAACTAATTTTTCTATTAAAATGAATGTCAAAATAATTAAATTTAAAAACTAAAAAAAGAAAGAAAAAAGAAAATTGTGTCTTCTTCCCCCAACCTTCCACCCAAAATGGGAAATTATTTAAATTCAACCATCGCCACCGCCACCGCCACCGATGGGGATTGGGGTGGGATGGGTGGGGTGAGGTGAGGTGAGGTGGCGTGGGTGGGGTCGAAGTGGTGGTTGGGGAGACTTTCCGAATTTTTTAAGGGCGGGAAAGGGAGTTTAGTGGTTGGTTGAGATGGGGCAATTGATTGTGTCGGTGGTGACGGTGCAATTGGTTCTTATGGTTACGGTGGTTCTAGTGTTGGTGCCGATGGTTGTGTCAATATTAGTGTGATTTTGGATTTGGGTTTGAGCATCCATTGGTGATAATAGGTGAGTTGGCAATGGCTAAAGTGCTTGTGGTGATCGTGGCGGTGTTTTCATGAGATGGATCGATGGTTCGTGTACAAGTTTCTAGTTTTGGAGGGGAGGAGGGGGGGGCGAGAGAATATACAGTTTTCTTTTCTTTTATTTATTTATTTTTCTTTGTTTATTTAATTATTTTAACTGCTTAATGTGGTAAATATAAAGTTACTATTTTGCCTTTTATAAAAGTATTAAAAATGTGGCCAAACAAAGTTTTTGGTCAACCAACATAAATATGGATGGTTTCCATCCATTTGGACTCCATACGCACACATTTGAAATATTTGCGACCACGAATGCATCAAATGAAACGTGAGGAAAAAACTTGCAATGTTTTGAAAGGTTTGGAGGTTGCAACTTTATGTCATCGACCTTCTATAATTAATATTTTTTTCTATGATAGCAGTTTACATCCAAATACGATAGAAGGGCATCAAAAGACTTACTTTTCCTTCAAAATAATCAAAGTAAACGACAAAAAGGAAATTTCGACAAAATATCTACTTCTCATTTCAAAGCACGTTGATAAGTGCAACAATAAGTAAAATTTGAGGACTTTAACGGTAATTAAAATGTCATGTATGTAATAGAAATGGTAGGTTAATATAATTACTTTTCGAAATAAATATACAACACTTTAATTGCATCAGGTTCTTGACCTTTACTTAATGTCGCACTTATGTCCCCATTTTTTGACCTTCAATATTTCATTAATTAGTAGATATTGTTCTTGACGAAAGTCATCATCCAAAATGTTTGTTAAGTTTGCTTTAAAATAAGATGCAAATGTCTAATCGCACTTTTTTTTTTGGCTTATTAAAGTGCGAGGGGCAAAAGGTCTTTTTATGCCCTTTTAATATAATATTTGGACGAAAGTCATCATCTAAGACAACTAATTAATGAAAAATTGATGTCGAAAATGTGTAACAAGTAAAGTTCGCAAATGCATTGTATGTTAATAACTAATTAAATATAAAACTTATAAATTATTGATATTCTTTTAATATATTATTTGAAGAAAGACGATTAATGTACAAGTTGGAAAAATATAATTAATATAAATAATGCTATGCTCCTGTTTTTGTGAGGATTAAAATCTGTTTTTTGATAGATTTTGATAAAAGTCGATTAAATGTGTGGTTTAAAAACTGTGAAACTCATAAAATATATTATTAAAAATTATTGTTGACTCCGACTTAAATTAAAATTAGATTTTAATCCCTATTGAACAGGGATTATATGTTCTCAGTGGAGTCAACCCCTAAGTAATGGGATAGTTAGATGAAATGATGAGACCAATTAAATGTGACATGAGACATTCTTAATTAATCTTATAATTTAATATCACATCACATATGGATGATTCTAGTGATATATTTAGCATTAATAAGTAAATATACATTTAATGCAACATAAAACACTCTTCATTAGTGTTTATGCCTAACTCAATATTTTGATTTGTTAAATTTTAGTAGTTCAAATAAAATTCAACTTCGAGTAATTTGATGCATTGCATTATAATGCATCAATGCAAACTATCGGATGTATTCCGATGAAATGCTATATCTTGTGGACAATGGGGGACAACGACACGGAAGAGGAACATAGTCCTTGTCTCCAACCTATTCCTAACTTTTTATGTTGTTAAATTTAAATCATATTTTAAAAATAAATAATAGTAAAAATAGTAGAAGAAAATATTTTAATCTTTTCCGCACTTTTTTCGACAGGACGAGACCAAGAAGGCCGCCCAGACTTGTTGCCTTTTCTAGCAAATAGACTATTTCTATCATGGGACCAATGCTTTTAATTTCCAAAACGTTAAACATGTGTAAATCGTATACCACTTGATAATAACTTGAAGAGGAAAATAATAGTAATACAATTTATTTTAGATAATTTCGCTTTATGTGACAATTTAGTAATTGTTATACTGTCCAATACATAAAAATGTATTAAAAATGCGTTGTGTAGATTGATGATTAGCTAAACTCTAGATAAATAGTATTACTCATAAGAAAACCATCCAAGAAAACTGTGAGTTCAATATAAGTGAAATATTAGAGATTAAAATGCTCTATTTCAAAGATTAAGGACCAAAAGACAATATGATCAATAGATTGAGGACATTCTCTGTTATTTTCCATATACATAAGGGGAACGATTGCTCCACTCTGTTAGCTTTTCTTTCACAATATCAATTTGCATACATTCAGTTCTTACATGTTCGTCTGAATTTGATTTGTGTGAGATCAATCGATCGGAAAATGGGGGTTTCATTTAAAGTCTCCAAAACCGGTAAGAGGTTCCGCGCCAAACCGCTCGAATTAGACACTCCCGTCGGAGGAGGAGAAGAAGAAGACGCCATAATTTCATCCTCAATTAAGAAGAGCGATCCCAATTTCACTTCCACCCGAAATCTCACGGTAATACATATAATTAAAAAAAGTTTGATGCTTTGGCATCAATTGAATTATGGTCGGAGCAGATACATATAGAGGGTTTGTAGAATGAGCTTAACCTCATTCCAAGTTTTGCACTTTTTCTATTTTTTTTGTGGAATTTTTTATTTTAATCCAGTGCAGATTTCCGTTGAGTTTTTTTTTTTAAATGTACGGTTTCACCGTTAAGGTTTTTAAGCTTTGTTGATTTTTTGCTTAGGATATGGATTTTTTAGCCTTCTCGATATGGATTTATCTTCGAATTTTTTTTTTTTTTTATATAAATGATCAAATATTGAGAAAATTGAAAAAGAAAAATCTGTTCAGGACTATGACAATCTCTTTTGCCGTTGATTTTGGATGATAAATTGCCTGTCCAAAAATTATTATTATTATTATTTAAGCTTTAGCTTAAGAAATTTGTTCATGTAGATCCTCAAAGATTAAACATTTATGGGAAACTTTGAATTTATCTGTTTGAACTTTATATTCTTGCAAAAAGTTGATCTATTTTATGATGCTAAATTGTATTTTTGAGTTACAGGTAGAAGCTGGTAAGAATGGCGATGTTACTGAAATCTCCAGTAAGTACTAGTTTCCAAAGTACTTTTCTTTAGGTCCATTTGGAAATGACATTTTCCTTACCTTTCTGGTTCCAAGTATGTCGGGTTTTTCTTCTGATTATCAAACCTTTTATCCCTTTTTTTTACAGATAATGATGTGTCCTTCACTCTTAGCCTTTTCCCAGACGGATATTCAATTGGGAAGCCGGTGGAGGTGTGTTTATAATCACTTTAAATGGTGAAGTGAAAGTAATAAATCTGTCCATGCAAGAAAAAGAAAATTTGTGGGAAGCTCTTTGCGTATTGATGTTGATTTCAATTTTATTTCAAATTTTCAGAATGACCAGAGTCATCAGACTCCTGTTGATGTTCCAAAGTTTTTGCACCCATACGATAGAGCATCCGAAACTCTATTCTCAGTAAGTAATGCAGATTGTAGGTTTGATTTATCAGTGAAAGCATGTAGCACATCTTATGCTTCATTTAAAGCCAGTTGCTGCTTACTATGAGCATGTTTGAGAGTGATTAAAATCTAATTAAAATTGAAAACATAGTCATTATTGGGTCTCACTCGTCTAATAAAAGTCAACAATAACGGCTAGTTTTTCAATTTTAATCCGATTTTAATCTCTACCGAACACGTCATATGTTGAGGCTATTGGCAACATGGGAACTGCTAAGCATATGAAGTGAGCTGAGGGATTCCTGCAGTTAAGATGCCTTATTTAATTGGAAATTAAATTTGATTATTGAATTGCTCTCCACATGACACCTACTCACGTCGCCTTTGTAGAAGTGTCCATGCATCATAGATTCCAAGCAATGACAATCATCATACTTCTACTCCTCAGCATGCCCCCTCAGCTTGCTTTCCATGTTGTAGTGCAGCAATAACTGACTATCAGACTTCCTGTAACACTTTCACATAAAGCATCAACTTATTTAAAGCTAGGGTGAAGCGAAAAAAGTATAATTTTATATTACTGACCTAATATGATTCCTTTACATATGTATTGATGCTTTTCCTTTTCGGTTATTTCAATAAAATTGCCACTTATTCAAAATCAAAACTTTTAATTCCCTCTTCCCCAAAATAGATTCCATTAAAATAACAATAGAATCATTGAAGATTAATAGAAAATCTCGTTTGCCATTCTCAGAGAATCTGCAGTTCATTCTCTCCTATCCCAAAAAGCCTCCCAAAACCCATTTCTCACTCGACACCACACCATTCCACCACTACCACCACCACCACCACCTATTATTATCGTCACATTTTTGCCCCTACCACTGTTGTGACCACATCCACAGCCACTCTGTAACCTTCTAGAGAGGCACTCCTCACGTTTCAAAGTCACATTCAGGATTTGAATCCTTAAGTAGAGGCAAAAGAAAAGTCAATCCTAGATGCCCCCAGCCTCCAAAATGATGTAGGGAGGGTAGCGGAAGAATAACAATGGTTGTCGTTTTGTTGGATGTAGATTTATAATTTGAGCCGCTCTTTATATTAAAATAAGATTTGGAGAAGAATACTGTCGGGAACAGCAGCAGGGGATGAGGTTTTTGTTGCCTTATATGATGGTGTTTTTGGATGGTTAAAATGATTTCTTTCTTTTTCTATTTCTCTTGCTTTTTTTCTTCAACATCCTAGTTGCAAATTGATAAGTTTTGCTGGAGATGGTGGTTTTAGTGGTCTTGAATGTTTTAGGTGGTGATTTTTGTCTTTCTGTTGGCCACACCCTGGTGGGTTTTTGTTTTTTGATAGGTAAACGCCCTGGTGGGGTTATGTGTACAACAACCTTTTAAGTAGAGTCGGTAATGTGCTTGTGAACTTGAAGAATGGTGACATGTTAGGTAGCTTTTTGGCAGATGATTGCAGCGCGTAGAGGGGATGTGAAAATGTTGGTGGCTTTCTTGTGAGTGTTGGAAATTGTGAGAGGATTTTTGTTTCATAAGCTGACTCCCTTCGACACTGTCTGAGTCATACTCTTTCCTCAAATACTGGTTCAAGCTAGACTCGGTCATGAAATGGAGGGACTTTTAAATATGCTGAAGTATATTACAAAAAGATTTGGATCACCAAATTTACTGTTTGAAATTGCTAGTGTATCATGTGTTAAGAGTGACATTATTCATTTACAGCTCGCAAAGATTTAGTGTTATTGAGTAACTCTTCCTCCCATGACGATCGTGGCATGCCTTCTTATCAACCACACAAATAGTAATGCCAGTGGTGGAGGATATAAATCTTTAACTAGAAATAGCAGTATGGATTATATTTCTTATAGAGAGTTTTGCTTGTCGTTGCAATAATTTGTCTATGTAGCAATTGTTTTTGCGCACCTTTCTTTGTTGTTTCTACATCCCAGCAGTTTATTTTCGATGGTTTATCTAATGGAATTTGTCTTGTATAAGTTTTTGATCATATGTACGCAATTTGTTATATAAAGGCAATTGAGTCTGGGCGACTTCCTGGAGATATTCTGGATGATCTACCATGCAAGTACATTGAAGGGACAGTTGTCTGTGAGGTATGTTATCTGAAGAACTTTAAAGCAAATATAGTCATGAAAGTTCTGAGAATTTGTAATGTTGGATGTTACTTCTGCAGGTGCGAGATTACCGAAATTGCTCTTCTGAAACAGGAGTTCATGTGGCTTCTGGGGATGCTTCACCTAGCGTCCTTAGAGTGTGTCTTAGAATGTCGTTGGAAAATTTAGTAAAGGATATTCCATCTATTTCAGAAGATGGTTGGACATATGGAGATCTAATGGTAAGTGAGCCATTTTTCTCGTTGCATGCACCAGAAGGAGATGGTGTCCTTATGAAGTTTTTGTGTAGGAAGTGGAGGCCCGGATATTGAAAGCCCTACAACCACAACTTTGCCTGGATCCAAGTCCAAAGCTGGATAGACTAAGTGACAACCCAGTCCCCACTAAGGTGCATATGCAACTTGATTTATCTTATTTTTGTAGTAAGGATACCATGTATTTTAACATGCTGCACCTTATTTGCAGTTAAATTTGGCAGTGCACAGCACGAGGAGAAAGAGATTGAGGCAGATTCATGAAGCTACTGTCTCATCAAATAATAAAATCCATGGGAAAAGGGTATGCATAGATAAAGTTCCCGAAAGTTTAAGGTTGGGTGATTGGAGATCCTTAATGCAGCAAGACGTCCAAGAGAATTTGAACACTCTAAATAATCTTCCAAGTGCAATGATTCCTCTAAGGACCAACAGCTTTGGGTCAGATGTCTCTGTTTCAGCCTCTTCTCTGGTATCCCCCCAGTCAAAATTTCAAATGGGGGTTGGGAGCCCAAGCCTTCTGCAGGATAATCGGCCTGGAGCTCCATTAAATGCATCAATAGCTTCACCTGCTGGGCAGGATATGATCTCACTCAAGGATAATGGCGCTTCTTCTGTTCATTGCAAGAGAGAGAACCAAGATGGGCAACTATCTCCAGTTTTAAACAAGAGGGGTCGGCTTACAGCTACAGGTGTTGATGGTAGTCAACATGTAGCACAACAAATGGACAGCTTCAGCGGAGCAGATTCACACTGGAAGAATACATTAATGCAGCAGCAATCAGTTGCAAGAGGGATTCAGTATGCTAATAATAGTATGAAAAAGTTCTCACAGCAGGTGTTTGAAGGAGGTCTAAATCAGGATGTTGGGGCTATGCCGTTTACTGCTGGACAACAAGGAATGAGATATGGGTTAAAGGAAGAACCAATTGAGACTGAGAATCTCAGTCGAATTCATATGGCAGAATCAGGAATAACACATAATGATTCCTCACAGTCACGATTACAGCAAAGAATGCCACAGCAATATGGGAGAGCTGGTTTCCCACAGACTCCATGGAATATTCCTGGTCAGCCTCTTGATAATAATTCTAGAAAGGAGGATTTCCAGAAGAGAAAACTAGTTCAAAGTCCTCGTGTTTCTGCCGGAGGTTTACCTCAATCTCCCTTGTCATCAAAATCTGGAGAATTCTCGAGCGGTTCAATAGGACCTCAATTTGGAGGCGTTGTGACTAGTGGACTTGTCTCATCCCAAAAGGAGAAGTCTGCAGTGACATCAGTTCCTCCCATTGGTGTTGGTGGCACCATGTCTTTGACTTCCAGTGTGAATGATTCGATGCAACGGCAAAACCAGGCACAAGCTGCTGCAAAACGTAGATCCAATTCAAAAACCACTGCAATTAGCGGAGTTGGTTCGCCAGCTAGTGTTAGTAATATGAATGCTATGATAAATGCAAACAGTCCTGTTGGAGCTCAATTGGCTGACCAAGCCATACTAGAAAGATTCTCGAAGATTGAAATGGTGACATCGAGGTATTCCTGTCAACAGGCTGCCATTATTTTTAGACTTGTACCACATATATTGGATAAAAGTACCTCTGTGCACTCCTTATATAAGTTGTCAAAGCTCATCAACTTTCAAATCTAGTATGTATAAAAGCTTGAAGCCTTGGTTAATGGGGTTCTAACTTGTCAATTATATGTGCAAAGTAATTAAAAAGAGCCCAAACCAATTAGATTTCTGTGTAATGCCAGTTGAATAGAACATTATAGCTCCTCCTGTATAATTAGTACAACTTAATATTGCCTTTCGTGAGAAGTTCCCAAGTGGAACTGTCTAGGGAGAATAATTTATCAAAAAATGTTGGGTTATCTTGATTTTTCCTTGAATATCATGTTGAACAGGTCCTTATTTCTTGACTGCTCATTTCGTTTTCTTTTTCTGTTTCAGGTATCAACTTAACAGCAAAAAGAAAAAGGTTGATCAGTATCCTCTCAGGAAACCAAATACTTTTACTGCTCAACAGCTGCTGATTCATCTTTCCAGTGATTCAAACAATGAGAATTTGAAAGATGAAACATGTAAAATGCCATTATCAAGGTCCCTTGTAGGTGGGAACATGAATGTTCCCAAGATAAGGATCTTAAACTTTTTTCAGACGGAACGCGTTCTTCAAGGTTTGTTGACTGCAAATTCCTGATCAGGTATCATTTTGTGATGGTGAACTGATTCTTTCACTGTCTGTTAGGTAATGGTTTTCAACTTGTTCCAAAGGCACGGACTGGGATGATCATGTCAGAAAAGCCGAATGATGGTTCTGTGGCAATTCATATTGGGGAAATAGAGGATGCTGACTATTTGGCTTCAGAGGATTACCTTCCAACATTGCCAAATACTGTGAGTTTGTCTATTTGCTTGTTTCTTGTGGTTCACAGAACAGATTGTGTTCCAGACAATTTATTTGTTTCATCATATATTTTAACATTTAAGCATTGGCTACTTCGCTTAATTTGGCTTCAATGTCAGAAATTCTTCCCCTCTTATATGCACCCAGGCACATAGAGAGGAGAGATCCTCCTCTATTGTAGCTGACCCAAAGAATAGTACAAATTCTTTGGCAGGTCTTGTGGGGATAGAGGAGCTGTGTTTTGCTTTCTAGAACCGACTATAACAGGCTTGTGAATCTAATAGTAACAAATGGAAGGAGGGACAACGCGCGCACACAGTACAAAAAACTTGCAACTCCATTAGAACAGTGGAAAGATAGAACGTGTGATCACCCACCCACACGTAGAAAGAAAGAGGGTCCTCTGTTTGTGGAGCATCAAATAAAAGAAGTATAGGTAGGTTTGTGGGTGGGGGGGATCCTCTCTATTATGGACCCATAGTAAAGAAGTATAGTAGATTATATTCCTTGGTAGGTTTTGCATGGATATATCTAATATGCAGCAAGTTTCCCCCTTCAAAACTGACATACAATGAGCTGGCAACTTTAGTAGAAGCTAATGGATGGAGGGAAGGGTGCACAGATGCTTGTTAACTTAGACTCATGCACACACGGAAAATTCATGGTGTATATATATATATCCTATTCTTTAAAGATCTTCCTCTGCGTTACCTTAGGCTATTTTTGGTGGAGGGAAGTTTAGTGGAACAGAAAAGGATGACAGGAATATGGAAGGAAGATCACCTTGTTTGGTTGGAGCCTTGGAGGGAATTTCTGGGAGGGATGGAAAGTGAATTTTTCAAATTTATTGCAAGCAACATGTGGAAAATGTTCAGATAGAATTGATAAACGTGCAAAAATATTGGATCCTTTCTACTTTTCTCCAACCATAGGAAATAAAGGTGGGAAGATAGCTTTCCTCCTGCAAAGGGAAATCTAAATATTGGACTTCACCAACTTCCTTCATACCAAACATAGCCATACGATCTAGAAAGATGGGTGACTCAATTCTCAACAAAATCCAGGACAGGGGACATGATTCTTGACCTAAAGTTTCTTATTCCATAATTCTTGCCAGAAGGGCTCTTGTCTCTTCCATATATTGTTGATCCCTTTCTGCAATGTATATTTGTTGCTCTGACACATGCCATGTAAATCCTGCAGCATACTGCGGACCTACTTGCTGAGCAATTCTGTTCACTGGTATGTTTTGTTAGTCTTTTTATTATTTATATTAATGAGCATTTGAGTTGGATAAGACTCAATTAATGATATTTTGCTTTTGCAGATGACACGTGAAGGATTTCATAATGAAGATCATGTTCAACTGAAACCAGCCCACATTAATGAAGCCTCGACCAGTCAACTTAATGGTCGGGGAATCCCTTCAGGTAGCACTCCAGTGGAGATGCAGCAGTATTCTGATGGAGTTTCTAGCCTCCCATCTAATGATATTGCCAAACCAAGTAGTAGTGGCAATATATCAGTTAGCTCATCTCAGAATATACAAGGCCCGCCAATGGTGTCACCTCCTGGAAATACTCAGGTGATGCAAATCTCTCAAGGACTCTTGTCTGGGGTTTCAATGACTTCTAGGCCTCAACAACCTGAATTACTGCCATCTCTGCAGCAACAGCAACCGCAACGGCAACCATCACCACAACATCATCAGCACTCCTTGATGCAACAACAGCATCCTCAGTACCAAAGATCACCTATGATGTTTTCCCCAAATTCTATGCCACATTTGAACGCTATTGGGCAGAATGCAAATATGCAGTTGGGTGCTCATATGGCTAATAAACCTTCAGCTCTCCAACTTCAGCTGATGCAGCAGCAGCAGCAACAGCAGCAGCAGCTTCAGCAACAGCAGCCCCAAATGCAGAGAAAAATGATGGGTGGCCTTGGAACTGTAGGTATGGGCAACATTGGCAATAACATGGTTGGGCTTGGAGGCTTGAACAATGTCATGGGTATAGGTGGCATCAGGGGAGTGGGTGGAATTGGGATTTCTGCACCAATGGGGTCTATTTCAAACATAGGTAACATGACACAGAACCCAATGAATCTGGCCCAGGCTTCAAATCTTAGCAATGCTCTACGTTCTGGGACGTTTACATCAACACAAGCTGCTTTAATAGCAAAGGCGAGGTTGGGACAAAACAGATCAAATATGTTAGGGGTGCCACAAGCAAGCATCAGTGGTATGTCGGGAGGTAGACAGTTGCACCCAGGATCTGCTGGTCTTTCAATGCTGGGCCCTTCTCTGAATCGAGCTAATATCAATCAGATGCAGCGCACAGCTATGGGTCCACCAAAGCTGATGCCAGGGATGAATCCTTACATGAACCAGCAACATCAGCAGCAGCAGCTTCAACAGCAGCAGCAGCAGCAGCAGCAGGAATCGACATCACCACTGCAGGCTGTTCTTTCACCTCCACAGGTGGGTTCACCTTCAAGCATGGGAATTCCCCATCAAATGAATCAACAGCAGCAACAACAAGCCAGTCCCCAACAAATGAGCCAGAGAACTCCAATGAGCCCACAACTTAGTTCGGGGGCAATTCATCCAATGAGTGCAGGTAATGTGGAAGCTTGTCCAGCAAGTCCTCAGTTGAGCTCGCACACCTTGGGCTCAGTTGGTAGTATCACCAATTCTTCCATGGAGTTGCAAGGTGTGAATAAAAATAACCCCGTTGGTAATGCATAGTTATTATGAACAGCTCGATCTTCATTTATGCGGGCTCCATAGATCATTTCTCTTGTCCCAGCTTACCCCTCTGGCGATTTCGTGTGGCAGTTGGATGGTGTTTAGATCAACAAGGAAACTGATATATACTGGAAATAAAGTATTTGGACGGATGTTTCAGAGCACGAATGAAGGGGTTTATTTCCTTGCACTCTTTGGTTACCGAATAATTCATACATGAAACTAGGGTTGGGCACTGGTTGGGTTGAATTGGTTTTGAGTCCAACCCAACGCAACATGTTCGATTTGACAATAATTCAAATCGAAATCAACCCGTTTACGGTTAAAACCCAACACAATCCAAACCAACCAAACTCGGGTTGGTTTGCGTTGGGTTGATGGGTTTCCACTTGAACGAACTTGTACAATTCAAGTTGGACAATTTTTTTATGGGCCCAATGGTTAGGGCATTTTTCGTTAAATTTGAACAATTTTTTAAAAGTTTAATATCATTTCAATTTGGACCAATTTCAGTTACATTAAAAAGAGTGAATTAAAACACCTTAAGTCGATTGAAGTTGGATCAATTGTCCGTGATGTTAAGTTCCATTCCAATAGAACAATATAAATTAAAAAATTTGTAAAATTTGTTAAATAAATTATATTATGATCAAATTAAATAAATAGTAAATCAATCTAAATACATGTTGAATACCTACATGTTGTACCTATTGAATAAAATGAATTCAACATAAATACTAAAAATGTTAAACCATTCGAAATACAAAATTACATTCTTCAATTCAAGTGTTTGTTCAAAAATCACATCAAAAAATCGAGTCGAGAAGTCGAGGCATGAGCAGCAATGAGAGACAGAAGAGACGTGAGGCACGAGAATTTTGGTCAATAGGTCTTAGGTTTTTTTTTTTTAAGTACTAATTTTCTTTTTAATATTTTTTAATTTTATTGGATTGAGTTAGGTTTGATTGAGTTTTAATAGATAACCCGAAACCCAATCCAACCCGACTTAAAATTTGATTTCCTAACCCGAACCCAATCCAATTGAACTATAAAACCAATCCAAACCGTTTGGTTTGGGTTGGGTTGACCAGTTTGACTGGTTCAGACTGATTTTTGTCCACCCCTACATGAAACAGTCTGCTCTTGGTGAAAGTACACAATTATTTTTCACAATCATTAGGCTGGTAGGTGATGTGCCTATTAGAATTCCACTTTGTTTGAGAAAATATAAATAATTCACTTAATAAGGTGAGGGTAATCCTCCCCTAGTAAGCCGATTTTATTAAGTGGAGTTAGGCCCAATATTTCTAACATGGTATCAGAGCTAGGCCCAATTATACAATGTTGGGTGTCACCCAATATCGATTTGTTCACAATTGTTTGGCATGGTCCACNATAAATATTTATATATATGTGTATGTATAGGTTAAGATATCTGATTTTTGAAATGTGAAAGTTGTTTTGTTATTTTTGAAATAAGGTAAAGATAAAGTAGGGAAAGTGAATTTTTCCCTTTATTAGGTGGAGTTAGGCCCAATATTTTTAACAGTGCCCATGTTTCAAGTATTGTTTTAGAGCAAAGACGGTCTTCTTTTCATGTTTGTATTGGGATGTATAATTATTGCTATCTGAATTTGCTTGATTATGAATGTTCAATTAGTTCCCCAATACTTGGTATTTCTGCAACACCTACTTCCACTGCTTTTATGGCTGCACATTAGCCAGAAAAGTTATGAATTCAGTAGCAAGAATTTAGATGAAAATTCGATAAGAATGACTAGTCGGACTAAAGAGGCCAACTGCTTTTCTGGTTCGAAACACTTTTACATACAAGATAAAAATTGTATCGGATACAATGTCCTTTATTCACCCAAAGTTACATAGCTGCAGAGATGTGACATTCATGAAAATTCAATGTGCTTATTCATAACCCTACCATCTTCATTCCCTTGATCACAATAGGTAAACTTGTGAAGGATTACAGCCATCGTATGCAACTATATTATGATATGATTTTGATAAATTCTACATTCATCGTGATGAAATAGATCATGAACATGAACATGAACATGATACGAGTGTTCTTTAACATGTTTCTGAGCCAAAAAAGTATAATTTATTTGACAGGAATGCTTAACTAGCACGGAATTCATAGCACCACATTAAATTGTATTGAATATTTTCAATTTTTGCTCATTGTCTCACTTATATCCTCAATTTTTTAGTTACATTTTTATCCTTTGTCTTCCACTGATTAACACATTTTGTCCATAATTACAGTTTTTGTCAAAAAAATAAAAATAACACCAAATACAAAAAATTGACGAAATACGTCTTTTAATTTAAAGCGAACAAACAAAATATCTGCATAGAAATCATCATTAGAGATAATATGACCTGACGAATTAGAAGTTGATGACTTGACGGATTAGAAGATGTCCCTTAGTTTAAAGCATGCTAACAAAATATCTACATACAAAAAATTGACGAAATATATTAACGCGTTGATTATTGGATAATGGATAGAAACCGTCTAGGGATCCTTCAACTGCTCATTTTTCCAAACATTAGGGATCGCGCTGCTTAAAATAAAAGGTTTGAGACCCATTTTCATCTTTTGAAAAGGTGAGGGACCACGACTACAATTTTCCGTATTTATACGGTGGACAAATGTTCAACTTTTTTAGGGTAGATAATTTTAGCTAGAACATACAATAATTATGCAATGAACAACGCGACCCATATTATGAATCCCTTCGATATAGACTTGTAGTAACAAATAAGCTTCATTCAAAGGAAAATTAGGAGAAATTACAATGACGAAAAGAACAGATGAAATGATGAACAATTTTTTAGTAGCAAAAGCCAATTTTCATCATCGAACATTGTAATACATGAAGAGAGTGCACTGATGCAAGGAAATGAAATGCGCCAGTACTGCACTTATCAACAGAAAACTTGCATGTAGACTGGGTTAACAACATGAGCTATCTTGAGCCAGTGGCGGACCCAACACAAAAGTTCAACACAGATGGGCCAAATGTTGATCACTAACCATCGACCATCGACAATCAGCGATCGTAAGAGCTACGCCGTTTATTAATATTTAATTATATATATATA